GAATTCTTTGTCTAACTGGCTCTTGAGTGACAGCAAGAAGCTTAAGTGGAAGGTGCCAGCCTGGTCACCCCCCCCCCGCCTGAGTGCCGCAATCTGCTTAGTGTCATTCAGGCTGATCCACCATCCCCTCGGTCATAGTCCCCCCCCTCCCCCCTTCCGTCCCAGCAGCCCCAGCCTCTGCGAGCCCCCAGTTTGAGGGTGGGCCTCCTGCAAGACTGAGACACCGCAGGAGGGTTCGGGGTTCAGCCGGCAGGCCTTCAAATTTTCTTCTTTTTTTTTTTACATTCATTAAAACTCAATGAAGACAAGAGGACGAGGGGCACTTTGTGGGGGCTGGGTTTTGGGATTTAGGGGGAGGGAGGAACCTCAGTGACCCCAATCCCTACCGGCAAATTAGACTAATTTCCCAAATACGCCCTTTAAGATGTTTTGTGTTTGCACCCCCCTGCTACCCCCAACCCCTGCGTCCTCCACATGGGAACCCAGACAGAGAGAGGCCAGGCTGAGAGAGTCCTGGGGGGGGCGGTCACCATTCCCACCCAAACAATGACACAGAATATCTCCATTTTGTCGAGGCTTTTCTTTTGGCAGCAAATGAGATGCTTTATAAGCCCTGAAGGGTGTACCCCCCACCCGACCCCACTGGATGGCTCACAAAATACCCCCCCCCCCAGCACCTCAGAATGGAACCTGGGTCCTTCATTAAACAGGAGAAACCAAGAAAACTGGGTCTGAAGATCAACACAATTCGTTGGTCCGAGATGTCAGAAACCAGTGCCTCAATACCTTTTGGAGGGTCATGGGTAAGGGGTCATGTGTTATGGGGTCAAGGGTTATGGGGTCATGGGATATGACCGCAGCTGTCCAAATGGCAGAAGCTCCTCTGACAGGGTCAACGTTTATGTCTCAGCTAATTGACCTTGACCTGTAGTGGGGACCCTGCCAACCGGTGAGCTGGAGAAATGAGCTGGATGACCCTTCTGACGGAGCTCATCACACCTGCCAGGGAGCTGGTGATAGCAGGTTGGGATCAATACTTTAATGCACCATTTAGGTGCCACAGTTCAGAGGGACACTTTGCACTTTGACGTTAGACTTTAATTTCTTGTTGTTTGGACACTGATGAGATTTCACAGGTAAATGCCAGATTCATGAATTTGAGGATTCGTGGATTCGGTTACTGATGAATTGGCCATGAACGGTTAACTGGGAATAAGTTTTGCCAGCACATGAGCTGAAGATACATAAATAATACTGAAGATGATTTGGACCACATAAAATCACATAGCATATAAATATTGGTGTTATTTCATATTTGACAAAATGTATACTATATAGTAATTTTAATATTAAAAGTTAATTTTTGGTAAAAAAAAAATAGACAAAAAAAAGATTTGGGGATCTTTGTCTCGGCAACCAGCCCCAGTTTTAATAATGGACCCAAACATTATTCCCAAATGTTCACGTTGCCGGGGATCTCCCCCTAAAGCTCACCATTGTGAAGCTTCTGGATTGCAGTCAGGAAATTATTCATGCCTCTTAGAGTCAGGTTGTGTTGTTTCTACCCAGATGTTATCTTTGGTCTATCGTTTTAACACTCAGAGTGAGACCTGCAGTGACGTAGAGAAAATGCACAAACTTCAGTGTCAGAAAGCAGGTACACAGGGCTTCTTAGGGGGGAAGTTGGATTGATTGGTCTTTTACAATCATGGGATACCAGCAGCCATTTAAAATGCCGAGTTTGGAAACCAGGCCCCTGTGCACCTGACTGTCCAGGCCACCCCTCCCTCTCTCCTACATCTTCCTAGTTCAGTGTTTCTCAACTCAGACCTTGGGGACCCTGAGACAATCCACATTTTTGGTGTGCTAGGAGCTGGGAGGGATCAAAAAACATGGACTGGCTAGGAGTCCCCAAGGGTCGGGTAGTGGCCTTCATAGAACTACGGCTTCATGGAGAAGTCTAGAAGATTCTACATTCACCATCAGCCTTGGTGAAACATTGAAGAATTTGTACTACAGTGTGGTAAAGATATTGGCTGCAATAGTCAGCAGTACAACGAATGACCTGCAGAAGCAGAGCTGCTTTTTCAGCTCCGTGGAGCTTTTCAGTCTCGGAATGGGAGGTCTTACGGGGGGAAGAGCTACGGATTTTCCCTTTGTACCGCATTTTAATGATGTATTAAAACCCTCTCAGGGACATGAGAACAAACTGTGCCAGCTTGGAAAACATGGAACAAGTTAAATCCTGGCTATGACAGGCATAGTTAGACTCCGGCACACACAGGAAAGCGGAAAAGGCTCCTATGACGTCAGACTTGGGCAGATGTTTCAAAACTGACACTTGCTTCATCTCCCTTCCATGTGTCACCACTGATATCTTTCTCTGGCTAACCACAAAGGATTCTGTTTCACTGTCTTCTGAAAGCAAACTGGTATAAGCGGTCTCTAGGAAGCATTTACAAGGGTTAAGAAACATGGCGTGGCCTCTGCTCAAACTTGGGAGACTAAAGCGACCACAATGACTGTTAATGTGCTCATGGTAGACACCTGAACCATCCCTTGATTAGCCCAACCAAAGTGACACCTTTAAGCCATGGAGATTCTATCTCGGGTTAGCAGAAGCTGGACCAGGGAAGGATGTGGAAGATATAGAAAAATGACTATGTTCATGTTTTTGTGAGAAATAGACTCTAAAGTCGGACTTGAGTGCATAACAGATACTTGCGGGTCGTACCGAATGCAGCCGAATGCAATTTGGTCTGATTGATGCCCCTGAGCTTTTGGGGGACACCATTCAGTTTGACCTTCACTTTATTATTGTAAATCAACTGCACCAAGAGCCCAGGTGACCGGACACTTCTAAACTACAAATAAAAACTTCAGGGAGGGGGTGAAAATCCAGGCTGACCCTGGCCATTTGCCATCCAACTCGGAAATTGGTGATTTTATCTGAAAACTATACATTAAACCACAACTATAATTAAGAGATGGTACTTCTCATGTCTGCGGCCACCCAGGAATACCATTTTGTCAGCCCACACTCTCCAAATTTGAGTGGAACCAGAGCTTTTGCTAATTGAGGTCTCAGTTAGCGGGAGGGGAGTCGTCTCTCCCTGAGAGAGGCAGATGATGACATACGTGCATTATCTGAAAACCACACTGAATTGGGAAAAAAAGGGGAAAAAGACCCAGAAGAAAACCTTATTTCGTCTCACTTTTCCCAGACCAGTGCGTAACTTGGAAAGACGGCAGCAATTTCAAAGTGTATCTCAGGCAGAAATGAAACTGCCGACAAACTGGCTTTGGAAAGGCTTCAGATGAGACTGTGGTTACGTCCAGGGATACTTGTTTATGATGTTTCGAAGTTGCCCCGTGCAGGGATATCCTGAGAATGTATGAAGTTGCCTAGCCTACAATGAATAGCCTGCAATGTAACAGATGAATTAAACTGAAGAATTTCATACCCAGTACCTGTGGACAATGAAAACATAGAAGGAAACAGGAAGAACTGGCCTTTCGTGCAAATGAGAGCACTGGGAACATCGCTAAGCAGGCGCGAATGTACAGGTGGCCACACAAGTGCAAGATGTGGGGGCAGGGATTCAGGTGCAGGCTTAGGGAGATTCAAAGGGCCTTTGAGTGACAGGGGCCCTAAAAAATGTGGAACATAATTGGACCTCCTTGAGGCCAAAGATCTGTAACAGCGCCCCTAGGTGGGTACATGTAGACTATGGGGACCAACTCAGAGCTGAACCAGATGCTGCACCTGCATGAGGATGAGCTGAAGAGGTAGATTTTTATCATGGGGCCCGGCGACGTGTGACAGAATAAGTAACGAGGAGGAACAAAGGGCCCTTTGCGGCTCTTACGGCAGAGCTGAATAATCGAAGTGATAAGGAGACAGGGAGAAGGTCCTCCTTCGGTCTGACAGCATTCCCTGCTGCTGCAGCCTCATTGGAGGCCCACGTGGCACGCTGGGCCTGATAGTGGATCTAAATGACCTTTTGAGTGCGTTTTCTATGGCTCATCTTGTGGCGCCGCCGGCCTAGCCGCCGTCCATCCCGCACAAAGAGAGCCTCTGTTCTCCGTCCCTCCTTGCCCGTTGTCACGGCCTCATTACCTGCCGTGCGCGACCTTTAAGGAGGTGCTGACGGCGGCCCAGCGGACCGGGGCCAGCGTCTGGACAGACCGGGACAGCCGGCGCTGTGGGCACCAGTGCCGGGCGCTTTATTGAGGCCACTTTAATGGGCAGCGCTGTAGATGCATCGCCCTCCCCCAGAAGTCATGGGACAACCCACTAATTGCCGGGAAATGGGGGGGCAGGTTTGTTGCTGTAGGATTATAGACCCTTGACGTGGCCCTGTCAAACCCAGAGCCTTAACCCATTAAAATATCTCTGGAAAATGCCGGAATTTACATAAGATTAACACAGGATACTGCAAGACCAAAGACAACATGGAGAATGTGCTATTTCTTGAATCAAAGGAGCCATAATTATGTTCCCCATGATCTTTTGTTGGACATTGTACTGTATATGGAAGATGCCTGTAAGCAGGCAGAACTATAGAGTGTTGGTCAGGGTTTCCAGGGGACTATAAACCGTAGGACACCCATGTGTAGCTTTAGCATGTAGCTTTAGCGGTGATGGTCTATGGCTCATCCCTGACACATGGACCATCCACCTGTGTTACGCGCCATCTTAGTTCTAGGCCTGTGAGCCATACTGACAGGAGGGGTGGTCCATTTGTGAGAGCCAATGTGCGGGCGACTGCCTATACAGGCTCGCTGTGTGGGGTGTGGAGCTGTTTTTGGGACTGAGCTGTCATTTAGGATTTTAAAAGGGTTCAGCTTGGAAAATTCATTAAATCAACATTCTTGTTTTATCTTAAGATAGTTCTTTAGATGCCATATGTGTAATGGTTAGAGAGCAGGGAAAAATGACAGAATTGGATATTGATCACAAACAAAAAGATGTTAAATCATTTGCAGTCTAGCTGTCCTTCTGTATAAAAATCTCATGTATATTTTATTATTTTTTTACAATTGTAAAAGGTTGGTAACAGATTCTTAGTACAAGTTTTCTGATTTTTAAAACAATTACAAAGGCGGGAATTAGCATTTTGTTACAGCAACAGTTGCTAATCTAGTCAATTTCCCTTTTGATTTCACAGACAGCAAATGGTAGTTAAAAAAAAAAAACAAACACAACAGAAGCTGAAATGATAATGGCTGTGTACAAAAGAACATAATCTCAGTAAGCACTGGATGGCCACACTCCGTATCTTCTGGTCCCAGGCCAAAAGTGGCTTGCAGTTCCTTCGCTGGCCAGCAGAAGGTGCAGCACTAAACGACAGTCATTGCAGCTGTAGGGTTTCTGAACAATACTTCAGCACCTCCTAATCAACCTCACCTGGTTTTCAACATAGCAGTCTGTCGTCTTTGGGTGTGTATATATATATATATATATTACAACAACAGAACAGTTACTTATTTCTCTTTGTCATTAGAAACAATCTTCCCAGATGCAACCTCTCTTGTCACTCTGTCACCGTTTTAATAGCCTTTGCCCAAATCCACCTTTAAACCAACCCATACTTTACAGGTCGGCCCCCACGACAACACATCCTAAAGCCTCATTTTGCTGTAAGATCGCACGTATTGAGTAAACCGGTGTTTCTCAGTCCAGTCCTCGGGGTACCCGAGACGGTCCACATTTTTGCTCCCTCCCTGTTCCCACACCTGAACCAAACAATCAATAACACAGAATGCCTGGTAGAGGCGTGTTGGAAGCTCGGAAGGAACAAAGATGTGGACTGTCCTAGGGCCCCCGAGGACTGAAACACGAGTAAACGACGATATGTTAGTTTGATGATTATGCGAGATTGCCTACATTTATGTTTATATGAGAGAGAGTCCCGGGCGGTGGGATGGGCACACTGGGCTCACAATGATGGTGTGAATTCCTCCTCTGTTGGGAGCACCTTCCGAGCATCCGAAATGAAAGATGCTGGGTTTCTCGGCGGGATTCGTGTGTGTGTGCGTGTCTGTGCCTGTGTGTCCTGCAGGGGGGGGGGCGCGTCACTGGAAGACGCTGTGGTAGGTGGGGCACTGGTGTGACTTCATGTGCTTGACGGCGAAGCGCAGCTCACGGCTGCGCTTGTCCCACTTGTGGATGGCGGTGAGCAGCAGCTGCTGGTCGGCACGGCGACCCATGATGAGGAAGCTGCCCGCCAGGCTGTCCAGCTGCGCACACGGGCAGTCGGCGCCGTTCTTCAGGTGCAGCACCAGCCGCTTCAGGTCCCGCTTGCGCAGGACCCCCATCTTCAGCACCTTCTTCTTCTTCTGCGCTGCCACTAGCTTCCGGTCGCCCTTCTCTCGCTTCACCTCCTTTATCTTCATCTTCAGAGCTTAATGGGGGGGGGGGGGGGGCAGGGACGCTGCATTAGTTCATCAGTCAACCACCCACCCCCTCATTTTGGATTTCATATCCCTACTACATTAATTACAAAGCTGATATTTTAACGGTTCGGCTAACCTCGCTGAAAGGTCCAACAGAAAACCAATGAGATCTATGTCAATATCCAGTTCAGAAATCTGCTCTTCAGATTCTAATGTTGCCCTCAGCCTTCACGATTCATACTGGCAACCTTCAGATGTCTCCAATCTACCATCCTTGCTGAAGGGTACAACGGCAGGTTGGCATCATGTGGTGCCACTAGCCCCCATGCCGTGTGTGCATCAGTAAGTCCTTTTTTAGACCCATCTAGAAGTCCTTCTTGTTCCCTCACCAGCTGGGCCTCATGGAAACAGAGTGTGGGGGGGTGGGGCTTCTCCCCGTCCCGACTGAGCAGTTTGTGTCTCTCGAGAGGTGAGTCAGTTACCCCACACGGCACTAACTCTGGAATATTCCGGAAAAGCGGATATCGCTTCAGCAGGCCCCGCCAAACATCAGGCAAGAAGAACGCAAACAGAACAAGAGGAAAGTAATTAAACAAAAGAGACCCCAACAGAAGCCAAATCTGCAGGCTGACCCCCCCCCGCGGCCTCTTGGGACAAATCCTGTCCTCAGCAACCCAGCAGTCAACATGTCTGTGCATTGACAGCTTCAGGCTTTCAGGCCAATAGAACAATGGGGGTTAAGGAGGGGGCATCGTGCTGTTTGTCTTGGTATGTCACAGGCCCCCCCCCCAACACATACACACACACACACACACACACACACATACTCTACAAGAAATAACACAGGTGACCATAGTATATAATTCTGAATCTATGGATTGTTGTCCGTTATCGGAGAAATGCCGCCTTGCCTCTCCTTGCCTCCACGTGCTCGCTGCGCACCTTCAGCTCAAATGGTGCCACGTGATGCCATTACAAAAGCCAGCAGCCCGTGTCTGGTGACTGTTCAAGTCACCCAGCTGCCACTGCTTTCAAGAACCTCAGGTCGGACTCAACGGCGGGGAAGAGAGGGAGGAAGGGAGAGAGGGAGAGAGAAAGGGATAGGAACTACTAGATGGGCTTTTTGTTGAACCAAGCACTTCTCCTTCTTGTTAATAAAGCTCCTGTGCGCCCCCTTATCTCAGACCAACTTATCTCAGACCAACTTATCCTGCCACTTTAGGCAAACTTGGCTATGTGGGGTAAGAAACAGGCTATACAGGCTGACAGTTAAATACCAGTGGCAAATGTGAGCTGTGAACAACACGCAAAGCTAATAACCTCCAAAAATAACACCTAATTCTCGAAACTAACACACAAAGCTAACAACACCCAAAGCTAACAATCCCAATGCTAATGACACCCGCAGATAGCAACACCCAAAGCTAAAACCCCAAGCTAACACCCAAAGCTAACACCCAAAGCTAACAACACCCTGTTTTTGAGGGCCACCCGAGAACTGGGGATCATGACTGGTGATGCTGGCCCGCATTCCCTGTCTGCAATCCAGGTCAATCCACATTTTGTTTGGCACATTCCTGACTCTGTAACCCACACTGTGCTGGAGTCTGGAGAACCATTTCTTTTGGGAAATACCCTTCTCCGTGGCGGAGGATACCTTTCAAAAGCATCCTTTCAAACTGAGGTGAAAAGTCCCTAAAATCCCCCTGGATTCTCAGGTGGGGGTCCAGCAGCTACACTGCTAAAGGAAGAGCAGAATACTAATTACCCTCTTGGGAGACAAAGAGCTAATTGCAAATCCAGATCTTGGTCGGTATGGCAACAAAGGTGCTTATAATTTTGTTCCAGTTGAGCATCCTTCCACATCGCTGCAGGCCATCTGTGTGCCATGCCGGTTTTGTCCAAATGCTTAGTCATTTCCTCCACGGTGACCTGCAACCTCGAGGAAACCAGCCTACCTGTGCCATATCTGAAGTACTGAAGAGTACAGCGTTCACGCCTCAGAAGGTCCCTCAAATACACCTCATTAATTACCTCTCCTGCCACTCCACCGCTGTCCCTAATGTGTTCAATCCCATGTTGAGTCTATGACAGCACTGATCTGATGTCGATGAAGCATTTCGGGAATTAATATAAAGGTGCAAAAGAATATAAAAATACACACAGACTTAGATATATATATATTCTGAGCTGAATGCGTCACATTTGGAAACTGGTGACTTGTTAATGTTTCCTACCACACTGTGCTTATTCCCTTCCTGCTAGCAAATCTGCGTCTACTAGCTGCTGGGTCAAGTGCTGAAAGGCTGCGGTTTAGCGCCGAATCCTGTCCTGAGCATTAATGCACCGCAGGTCAGGCAAACTGCACAGCAACTTTAAGCCCATGATACTTAAAATGACGACTTCAAACTCCATTCTTATATCAATACAGACCCAAATAAAGTACGAGTTTTAAGAAAACATGGGCATGCCCCGGTTTTAGCCTTGATGGTCTGTCGACTGTTGCGAGCCTCGTGAACCATGATTAATTCTGATGCTTGCACTGTCACACAGGAACGACCCCTGTGGGCTGATCTGGCCCTGAAACATCTAACCATTTCAGGGTTACTTATTACGAGTTTCGTTATAATAACACAGCAACAGCAGCTAACTGGAACAAATCTCTAAATCTCCTCTTACTTATTATTTATCGTTCGCCAAGTAAAACAACTGATGTGCTGTTTCTATTCGTGTCCTCTGGTCCCGGCGGAGGGCAAATCCCGCAGATTGGGTAACATCGCATATCTTTGTGTTGCACTCAACAAAGTACATTTTTTTCTTTTTCGGAATCGTGTGGTGGAAACTTTCACTCGCATCCAATGCACGCTTTAAACATACAGCCCCGCAACTCCATTCCTTCTTTTTCCTGCAATTACATCCCCGGATCGTGATAAAGTTCACGACCCCCTCCCCGCACTCCCTCCCCGCACGCCTTCCCCGAGTCGAGTAATTTGTCATAAAATAACGACACAAAAGGACCGGGAAGGTGGAAATTCAAACGCCACATGTGCTTGTGCATCTGGATTTGGGTTCGGTTTGGGGGCCTATGGGTGGGGGTGGGGGGGTCATTTCAAAGCTGCCTTTTAATGAATGAGGGCTCTTAAGATTCGCCAGGAATGCTCTCAGCAATCAGTAACTGATGGGGGGGGGAGTCACTGCGGACGTTTACTCGGGGTTTTACATGTATAAGCTTTCAGGTCTCAACAAGGGAAGGTCTAGACAGGTTTGTGTATTGGTACAAAATGCAGAGCAGTCAGCAGGGGGCGCAGTGGTTAAGGAGTCGTGCTTTAAATGGAACATCTGCAAGTTTAGTTCCCAGGAGGATTTGACTCCCAGTACAGCAATAAACTATTTAAAAAATCCACCGACTTAAATAGTGTGAATAGAACACTGAATTCTATAGGTGCACAGTGGTTCAAAAGTAAAGCTGTGTCCGGGAGCAGGGGGCCCAGTGACAGAACACGGCCTCTTTCTGGGCGTCAGGTGACAGGTCATTTTGTCTTATTCCTATAAGACTGACAGCAGTCACGTGACCACAAACAGCCTTTTTCTGAACACCTAATGTTATCCATCCCCTATAAGGACACTGTGTCTGAGAGACACTGAGGGGGAATAAAACCAGCAGCAGACTGAGCCAGCAGGACATGGGTTTGTGACCCCAAGAAGCTTTAGGGTTGAGTTTTGTAGTACAACGCTTGACATGAATCGGTATAGTCAAATACCCAACCTGATCAAACAGGCAAAATTCATATAAGGAGGAAAAAGTCATGAACTGAGGAGATTATACCTCTGTCGCTAGTTGCATGAGGTGAACCTTAATTTTTTTCTTGTGGTTTTTATTTTGGGGGGTGGTGGATGGGGGGGCGGCTTACCAAAATCACTGGCACAGAAGTGTTCCATGATGGCATCAGCTTTCATCTCGTTGTCACAAGGCGGGCATGCTTTGGAGGCTGCGAAGAGAGTATGGAAAGGAGGGGCACGTCACCAGTCGTGTTATACCAGACAACGCCCCATGTCATTTAGGGACTTAAACACATTAAACAACAGGTTATAATGGCTTCAGAACCTACATTGTCCTTCTGGGGGAACCTGATGATACGTAGGTGGAAATACATTTTATATTGCTCCTAAGCAGGAAATTCTGGCACCACAGTTAGTAAGATTCAGGTCCCGACAGGGAGGTAAAATGGTGACAGATTTTCCATGCTGTGCTTCTTCCCTGTCAGCAGATCTCGTTGCCACCCTGTCTCCATGGCATTTGTCCCTGACGACTCGCCCGTCCACCTCCCGCGCAGGTGTCTTAGATTAAGGTCGCCCCCTGCTGGCCGAGAAATAAGGCAAAGGGGGTCCCAGAGTTCGTGCTGAGTCCTGTGCTTATTGGTGGGTGTCATTGGTGGGTGTCAACAGATTTGGAAGCTGAAGTTGTTGAATTTCCACCAGGAAAAGCCAACAGTAGAAACCTGGAGGATTTGCACTGGTCCATGTTTCAGTCCGAATGCCGTAGAGGCGTTAACAGCAGAAAAAATTACGACCCAAACTGGAAAGAGGTAACATGCATGTGTTCCTGTTAATGAAAGACTACAGTGTATGATTCAGTGCTTTAAGGACCTAGGTGCCCAACCCTGGTTCCACAGACCGGTACCGGTATTCCACCGGGTCACAGAACGCTAGGGGGTTTCGGAGAGTTTGGTTGATTTCCAAAAATAAACTATATATTTAAAAAAATTTCACGACCTCTCGCATCTGTACATTCTGTTCACATATGAAATAAAAGGAAAACGGCAAACTTATAAAACTGCCAACTGATCGGCGGCTGCCCCCGAATCCCTGGCGGTTTTATGGGCCCTTGAAAGTTTTTCCGCTGTAAACCGGTCCTTGTGCACCAAACGTTGCCTGTGCCTGTGGACGGAAGGTTGCTGGTTCAGATCCCATGGTCGGCTGCTTTGGATAAAGGCATCTGCGAAGTCCATGTGCCTCGTGTGACGTGAATGTTTGCGTGACTTTTGTGGGGTTTTATTTATTTAAAAAGCACCGCATGAGCTCTGTTGGCACCAAGGGTTAAACACAAGTCTGTCTCAAAAGAGAAAAAACACCTAAAGTGATGAAATGAAGTCTGGTCCTGAATACTAATGTGTCTGGTCTCAGAACTAAGTCCCAGTAGGTGTCTGCTCCTGATGTAATATCTTCACGGAGGCCGCGGCCGTTGCTGGACTGCCCCCGGGGAGACTTTCTGGGTCCAATTGGACCTTTACCTTATTTTGTTTATAACACCACCAATCGCGTAATTCACATGGAAAAAATGCGTGCAGCGAGTGGGATTTTTCCAGTTTTCCACAATGTGGTGCATATTAAAGCATTAATGAAAAAGTAAATCTGTCACTTTGAGTCATTTCTCGCATGCATCAAGAGAAAGTGCTTCAAAGGGATTCTACGTACAGTACATGTATAGGGAGAGATTTTAACACGTTTTACATATCCATCCATCCATCCATCCATCCATCCATCTTCCAGACACTTATCCTGGTTAGGTTCATGGGCCTGGAGCCTATACCAGGCATCACAGGGCACAAGGGGTACACCCTGGATAGGTTGCCAGTCCACAAAGAAAGGTGTTTCCAGAAGATTTCATATACAGTATATATAAAGGGATTTAAAGACGCCTATGGATTTCCACGCGACCTGTGTTTCTCCAGTACCAGGTGAGACCACTGTGGGTAGGTGGGATTGGGGGGCGCAGACTGTGCCCTCCCCTGCTGGAAGGGAGAGCGGCCATTAGCATGCAGGAAGGATTAGCTACGACCAGGACGACCGCACCGCAGTGGCGGAGAGTGGATCTGCGCGCCAGTGTGCTTTTTGGTTCGTAGCCCGTGTTCCCGGCCCACCGACAGCTGCTCGACAGAGACATCACGACCATCGGTGGGGGCCTGGCGTGTTCGGTTTGTGCTTCGCGGTTGCGTGCATTTGTCTGGTAGCATAAATTAACGCCGGGGGAAGGATAAAGGAACACTTTACTTTCTACAGACGTTACTCTGAGCTGTAATGGAGTGTGACAGAGCCACGAGAGAGGGAGAGAGCGAGACGGAGGCCGTTCAGGCCCGTGGACAGAGAGAGGGATCCCGCGTAAACCACACTCAGTGAGATCCAGGCAATCTCTTCAAGTTCCTCACTTGTTTATTTTTCATGATTCACGGAACATCTCCGCTGCTGTTCCGTGACTCATACGTGACTGTACAGAAAAGCGGGTACGTCTGCAGTCATAGACACCCACCGCTTGGGTGAGTCAGCTCGGGAAGCCATGTTGTAGTCCTCTGAATCCGGCCACAATGAAGCGCTCCGATAAAAACAGCCTCCGGAATAAAGCCGGGGAAGTTGTTCGAGGACCAGGTCCGGACGCGACAGCTGTGATCTGACGGGATTGGTGGGTGTGACAATGCCCGCTAAAACCCTTTAATGTGGTCCAGCAATCAGCTCTGTTCTCAGGCCAGTTTTCCCCCTCTTGGATCATAAAGGAAGTTCCGTAACTGAATCAGTTTGATCAGAGCCGCCCTTGGCAACGTGGACACAGAACATCTCTGTGAGGTCGGAGAACCGGTTACGTCCCACCGCCACCTCAGATTTTTAAAATCCGAGAAAAATGAGAATACAAATGAGCTTTTCGCCTCAACATGTTTGCGAGCAACAATCCGGGAAGCACCTGCAGGTGTCCGAGCATCATTTGTTTGTTTGATTGTTTGTTTGTTTGTTGAATGTCGAGTTTGTTTTTAAGGCCCATCTTAGAGCTTATAAACCATCATTGTCAATCCAGGTCTCTGCACTCAGGGTATGTACCGTTCTTAATATCCATACTCTATATATCCATACTCTATATATCCATACTCAATATATCCATACTCTATTTGTAACTCAACCTTCTGTATCATTTAGAAACAACGTCACTACATTTCTGAGATATGACAGAGGGTCCATATGTGTGTTTTAGATCGATACATAACATTAATCACACAACTCATGTCATGGAACAAGCATTTTGTGTTGAGCATTTTTTATTTTCTGGGACATTTCTAGGTTTGCTCCATTTTTACCGTGTCATTACACTTCCAGCAGCATAGCTGTAGTCGTTAAACTCAGATTTTACTCCGGTAAGCTGTTTGATCTGCTTTTTAAACCATCTTTTATTGATATGTCACTTCTGCTGCTTCTTGTGTAATTTGTGTGTCTTTAACAAGCTTGTAAAACCACACATGAGTCCCCCCCCCCCACCTAGCCCAAATAACGACATTAAACAGCGACAGGCAGCCATGACCTTCCCTCTGTCCTAACCTCAGTGGTGGGCGGGAGATAACAAGAGGTCAAAGGTCAGAGCCAGTGAAAACCAGGCTTTTCTGGGGCTACCCCACCCCCATCACATCATTGGCCGCACCACCACTATGGGAAGCTCACTGATGCTCACCTAATGCTCTGCCAGCCAGTGACTTAGCAACCAATTGGCGTGCAGCTCCGGCAAAGGCAAGAGAGACCCCCGCCCGTCAACCCGCCCGCCCGCCAAAGGCACGCCAGTCCGCTTGGAGCCGCAACGTCTCACTTGGACCCCGGTGCAGTTTGTCCAGGGCTGCGCTGCCCCCCCTGGCTTCCCTCCAAGCGGTTGCCGTGCCAACGTCGCCGAAGAAAGAGAGCGTTCTTTAAATGCTCTGAGCTTCATTTTTTTCATCCGAGCTGTTGACTTATTAACCCTGATAATAAGTCTGGGTCAGGAAATTTATGAGCTAACTTCTGCTATCACTTACTGCTAAAGAAATCGGAGGGGTTTAATAAGAAGAAAACACCTTTTAAATGGTTTACGTAATGTTTTATAAATAAGTCAATAAATACAATTAAAACTTTTTATTCAACGTTCTGCATTTATTTGAAAGTCTTTTCTCTGTCAGTGTTTTGCTGTCTGTCTCTTAGTGTTTATTTTAAAAACACACTTGGCTAACAGTGGAGAATATGAAGCTCTTCAGCCAGCTCCAATACAGGCTCGTGCAGAAGCTCCTGACTCTCAGCATGGAACAGCTGCTGGAAAAGTTGAACCTGTCTTCAGAGTGTTTTTTAGTGCTGAGGTAGAAAAAAAATAGACCGTCCTTCCCCCCACCAGCCATCGCGCACAGAGTGGCATTACGCCCTGGCTGCAGGTCAGAGGAGCACAACTCATTAATCCCGCCGACTGCAAAGGTGATGAAACGCAGGCGCGTTCGTGTGTCTAAGTGTGAATTTAGCGTGATGATCCAGGAGAAGCTTTCCGATCCCCAAACCAGGGCTCTGTGTAGATAATAGTTAGTAATGACCAGGTAACCTGAGACAGAATGTATAGATTCCAGGGACAGATTTACTGTTTCTTGGGCCCCATTTAAAAAAAAAATCACTTTCAGGCCCCCCCGCCCCCCGGTGTAGTGACCGTTTGTGGCCAATAGGGGCCTCCAGCAAATGCATGGATTGAGTGGTGGAAACATCACAACTGGGAGTAAAACCAGTAACTCTGTAAGGTGGCTTTTGAAGCTGGTAAATAGCTTCAGGCTTGAGGACGTGTGAAGGTTCATTCTTAAGCTTCTGTTGTTGTCCAAAGCAGTTTAGCTGCACCTATGTCAGATGGACCAAGCAGGGAGCCGTGATGTTTGACCCATTACAGGGGCTCTGGGAGGGATGATGGGGGGGGGGGGCAGGGCTGTGTCAGAGTCCATGTGATCCACCGGTCATCCAGACACCGTCTGTCAACCCTCCCCACAGCCTGTGCCCCCCTCCCCCACCAGGACACACAGAAATTTCCACGAGGACTTGACGTCCTGCATATTAATGTGCAGGAGTCATAATTTTATGATTCATTTGGACCCTCAGGTAACGTTCATGGTATAAAACATCACTGCAGGCAGATGAAATCCCACAGGACACGCTTGTCAACTGGAGCCCAACATCTGTTTAAATGTACAGAGCGGACGGACGAATTTAACATGCCGCTGCCGGCCTGTAAATCCCAGATCGGATCCTCCGATCAAACCACATTCAGCAGACTGTAAATATACAATCGAGCAGGCCTGTCAGAAATGTGTGTGTGTGTGTGTATGTGTTTGTGTTTGGGGTTTGTGTGAGGTCACACACCTATGCACCTTCTGAATTAGGTCTGGGATTATCCATAATTCATGCTTCCCATTCAAAGCAGGTCCCAGCACCCCTGCCTTGTATATATACGGATTTAAATCACATGCGTATTTTTCTTTGCCTTTCCAGAAACAATGCACCCACCCTGCAGCAGGCTGCCTGATCTGCCCCCGCAAGCGAGTATGTTACCCAGAAACGATGCTGCAGTCAAGCTTTAATAGTTCACAATGTGCCATGCAGGGGCATCTGGGAACTGGTCACCTGACTCACAAAAACCACAACAAGACCTTAATTATGTTCTTCCCTGCATTTCTGAAACCATGTGCCTTTTATCTTATCTAGCAGACAACAGGCTAAACCAGAAAGGTCACGGGAAAAGCCAGTGTCCATTCTCAGCCGCCTTAAAATCCCGTTTATGGCGACGTCTGACATTCCACGTTCAAACGAGCAGTTCCTCATTTGCTTCAAAATGTAAGTTTAGTTTCAGATTTAAGAGAGCATATTTTCAACGGCACGACACTCAAATCAGTAAATGTGAAATTATACAGCGCACATGTTGTAACGCTGTTGACTGGTTTTTTATTGTGTGAAAATAACCAAACCGGTTTTTTTTTTGGTAAAACCACTCGCCGTGACGTAGATGTGAACCGTAAGGTGAATCCCAGGCTCGGCCTCTGCCACCCCCCGGAGCTGCGCGATCAGGCCGCCGCACACACCTGCTACCCCCCCAGCAAAGGCAGCCGGCGACTGGTGACCCCAGCTTATCACCATCAGCTATTTCACAAGAGCCCGCTTTTCACTTCGCTACTTGACTAGCAAAGCAACTCTCCTCATACCATATAGACTTAATATCAAGGCACGAGGAAATGAATAACAATTTTATTAACGACAGCTATAACTTTCCCAGTATTAAGAGATTCACGGGGGGATTCAGGCTTACTTATTTTGCTCGGTTGCATTTTTTTTCCACATGAAACCTGGCAACGTTATTTCCTTAATTTCTGGATGCTTTGATCACTTTTAGTGAAAAGAAACTTAGGTTTTAGCCTGAACTCAGCAACAGCGCTGTAGCCTACCTCAAATGAGAAAAACAGATCTCGTTGCATGTATATACTTTATTAAATAAAGTCTGATTTATTGGTCGCGGTGTCCTGTTCGAAGCTTTCATATGTATTTTTCATAGCTTCAAAATTTTCATCATACTTCCAGTTCATACGCAGATTTCACACATAGTTCATTTTTTATTCACAATGCAACGTGAGGACGCACGTCTGTAACACACATTATAAATGCATTTTAGCTAACATTTACCGATGAGTTTCCCCCCCGCCCACTCTCTCCTGTCAAACCGCCTTTCACACGCTGCCCGTCGTCTCCTTCTCCGGCTGCCTGTTAATCCGCAGTAATTCAGCTCCGGTCTAATTTCCCGAACGGACCGCAGACCAGGCTGCCGCAATCTGCTTGGGGACACCGCGCTTCCTGCGTTCATACGAGCTTTTTAAAACAGTCGAAGCATCACTTCCTTATTCCAGTAGTACAAATGCTTTCACACCACTAGTAACTTCTAAAAAGTTTTAACTAATAATATTTCTGCTGATGGACAAAATATTTGTCTAGAATATGTATTAAAAATTTCAGAATTTCCATAACATACTAAATAAATTCTTCTCTTGTGGTTGTTCCAGAGTTTCTGTTTTCAATTGAATATTTCCTTTTAGCAATACTGGCAATCTTTTACATATGTAAAATAAAAAATAAATCAGAAAACATGGCATTTCAATTTTGTCTTGAACAGCAGAGAAAGCGGATAACTGTCAGGTAATGTAAAGTTTGCTCTTTTTTTTTGGTGTGTTTTTCTAACCCTTTGAACATCCTGGAAGTGAATCCTGGGCATTTCTGGACACAGTGAGTCATTAGTCATGATAAGGTATCTGGATCAGGGAGCTGGCTGTCCTTTCCACCAGCACGTCTGCGGTACATCAAAAACAAACAACTCCCTCCTAAACAAGCCCACCAAAAAACATACACACAAGCTCTTTGGCTCTGCCCTGCGATGGAGTCCCAGATATACTGCCAGCCTATCAACGCTTCTCTCCTTCATGCAGCGAAACAGCAACATTAACTAACACACCCCAACCTTCCCCTGGGGGTGTGTGACACGCAGTCATATGCTGCGCCTGACCTCCCCATAAGCATCAATCAAGAAGTCTGTCCACCAATCGGAAAATTGACAGAAATGAACTGATACACAAATATATAAGGCCATAATCATACATTTAAAATTAGCTTTTTCTCCTAATGCATGCATATAAATACCTAAATGTTCATATGATATCTACTTTAGGTTTGTCAGAAGAGAGATAAACCTCAGTAATAACTGAGTAATTACTTAACTAAAATCAGTCATTTGTCCCTGATATATGTGACATTCGCTGCATGCGTCGCAGCTGTGTGCGGGAGGGCAGTGGGGGTACCTGGTGTTTGCGTTGCGCTGAACTGCATGGGGATGCAGAGGTCGTTATCGATGGGGAACTTGTCACAGCGGAGCATCTCGGGCCAGGGGAAGCCGTAGGTCTCCATGACGGGGGCGCAGCTGTCGCGCACGGCCTCGCAGAGCGAGCGGCATGGGTAGATGGGCCGGTCCAGGCAGACGGGCGCGAACAGCGAGCACAGGAAGACCTGCGTGTCGCCGTGGCAGCGCTTGGCCAGCAGGGGCACCCAGCTGCCGGCCTGCTGCCGCACCTCGGGCATGCTCTCGTGCTCCAGCAGGTTGGGCAGCCGCATGCGCTTGTAGCCCACGCTGTGGCAGAGGCGCAGGTCGGCGGGAATGTCCACGCACTGCGGCCGGCGCGCGTAGAAGCGTCCGCCGCCCGCCACGCCGCCGGCGCCACCCGTGTGGAAGTTATCCGACTGCCAGCTGTAGTAGTCATACTCCTCGGCAGAGGCGGAGCCGAGGGCCAGGAGAAGGAGCCCCAGGACCAGGAGGGCAGGGGCGGCGGCGCCGGGGGGCGGCGTGGGGCGTCTGCGTCTCGCCATCCGCTCCTCGCTTCTTCGGAGGATCCCGCAAAGTTTTGGGAGCTGCAAAGGGAAATAATCCTCTTTCCCCGGGGGGCAGTGTGGATGCTGTGGTGGAGGGCCCCCCCGCGAGTCAGCTGAGGGAGGGACGGTGCGGCCAGGCGCCCCGGGGGGTTTCCTGCGACTGTGCAGTGCGCTCAGGTGGGATCCCAGGCTGGCCCGCTCTCCTCCTCTCCGAGGTGCACCTCTCGTTTAAGACCCGCCGCTCGGCCTGGTCCCTCACCGGCCTCCGGCCCCCTCGTGGGCTGCCGGCCCATCCCGCCTCTCTCCCCCCCCCCCCACCCCCTACCCTCAGTGAGGCTTTCCCCTGGCTGCTGTGAGCCTGCGCTCAGCCAATCGTGCCACACGGAGGCAGGGCCTCGGTGCTGCTGGACACTCCCATGCCACGCCCCTCAGAACCCCCGCCATAAACCCCTCCTCCTTGTCATGAGCACTTCTTGAGTTCTGCATTTTGCTGCTCCTTACTTACTCTGTTCTCCTGTTACATTCTGTCTTCCTCCCTCCCACACTGTCTATATATATATTTATATGTGTGTGTGTGTGTGTGTGTGTGTGTATTCCATGAACGCACCTACACAGGCAAACACAGATTATCCTCTCATACCATCGCTGGCTCACAGTTGGGGAAACATGGTGAATGAAGCTTATTTCATTCCTCGACAGCAAGAGCCAGCACAGCTACAGGTGGTCTCGCCCGTTGGCCTCTCTGGGGGGGGTATGCTAATGATAATTCCTGCCTGTGAATAGACCCCCATCTCCCACTGTCTCTCGCTGTCAATCCCAGTTGGACAGAGGGGCCCCGCCGGCCCCCGCTCAGCCCCCACCCCTTTGGCGGGGGTCTCCGCGCCGTGTCCTTCGTCCTGCTCCTCGGTGTCATCGCGCCCCCCACCTCATAAATCTGCGGCTGCACTCAGCCCCTCAGCCACATTCCCTCCATCAATCGCCGCCATAATCACATAATCACGACCGCTAAACCTTTTTCAGACTGTTGTCACAACAGACATGGATTTAAAAAAGCCAATGGCCACAAACAGAACGATTTATAAGCGCCACGTGTCTCATCTTTTTATTAATGACACAGTCTTACTGTTATGCCTGTTTTTTTATTCTGGGATGTTTGAAATTATTCCATAAAGACGCCGTGGATGAAGGGTGATTGAAGGATTACGCCAAACTCTGACAAAACTGGTGACACTGAATTCAACTGCTTTGTGTTGTGCAGCTAAAAGCAGAGCCACTAACTAACCAAAAAAAAAAGGTGATTTGTGGTAAGAAGACCTAGGAGAGCAGGTATGCAGGACATTCCTGCAGGTGAGAAACAAAGGACAGATTATGTATAGGAGCTCAAACCCACATCTAAAGGGAGCAGAGACGTGAGGCGTGAATTCTTGTTACGAGAAGCTGGTTTAGAATCCATTGAGGTTGAAAGGGAATGAAAAATCATGTTATTGACACATTATTGACTTCATTGTGTTCGGTGCCATTGTTCAGCTTCATAATAATTATCATTACATTGATCATTACTACCTCTACAATAATAATAACCGCACGTTGACCTCGTTGGCATTATGTTTGTTTATTGTTTCATGTAAGTTCAATAATAGAAAGTCTTTTCTAATACTTTCCGTACTGAAATTGACAGCCTACTGTGTCTGTGTGTGTGTATGTCAGGATAAAGGAGGAAGCCTTGTCTCCACAGACAATGGAAATTGATGGGCCAAGATCCGGGCCTTGTGGTACACCAGACAGGCAGACCTGAATCGCAGATGGAAACATTTTTTCCGGCAATATTTTTGCTATTTCTTTAAAATGATTAAATAGATTCTAAGACAGCTCATATCCTCCCTGGTTTTCAAGAAACTCGAGTATTACAATACCATCTATTTTGGGAAATGTATAAAATGATGGGACCCTGGAGCTGAGTCCAACATACCTTCCATCAAAGTGCGCTCAGCTACGAGGCAGGCAGGCAGAATGAGCGGCTCTCCAGAGCAGCAGGGGCAGAGACTCCTGGAGTCGGTGAGCGGAGACTGTGGTGAGAGGCAGGCTGGGCATAGCGCCCCGTAGGATGCCACAGGAGATGGTACCTGCTGGTCCGGTGAAACCCCATCGCTTCGATCTCACAGGCTTCCATCCCATTAATCTGTGAATTTGTGAAAGAAAATTGCACTGTGCCTTGTTTTGGACTCATAGTGCTGAGCCAGAAGGGTTATTGGCAGATGGACCTGTTTACAGGACAGTGGTTTAAGTTAAAAAGTGAATTAGGAATCAGTCAATGAACAGGTAGCCTGTAATTAGCCATTATTGAGTCAGAAACCTTTGTGACCTTTGCCTGCAGAAAAATCATTAATTAGTCCTGAAATAATCAGCCAGCCACAGACGATCGACGTGTTCTGACACAGTTTGGATAGGAAACGTTTTCTTTTTTCTGAAAATGGCCCCAGACAGCTGCTTCTAGACAAACTGCAGACGATGTAAAGATTTTTCCGCTTCATGTGAAGTGACAGACTGTGCAGCACAAACACCCAGCTTTATATAGCAGCACATTCTCTAGGAATCACGAGTCAGCTTTCACCCACAGACCTGCGTCGCTTGGATGGTCAATAACTAAATAACTTACAGCTGTCATCTACTAATTTGGTGCCGTTTAAAGTGATTGGAATGGCAGAGTCACAGCGACGGAAGGGAACAGACGCTGGAAGATCTTAATAGTGAAATTATTTATTTCTCATCAGATTTCTCCTCATGATGATGCTCTGAATGGTGTGACTGTGTCCTTTGCAGTGGAGGCTGTGTTACGGTGTTAAGAGGACATGCTGATCCACATTTGTCCCATTTAGTTCCAAAATGTCATTCATATTATTTATTTTATACGCCGCAGTGACTGTAAGTTCATAGTTGCTGACTAATGACAGACGGCTGTGTTTCCGTCTTACACAAGACCTGGGCCCATAACTCTGGTCCCCCAAAGCCTTGAGGTTTTGATGCTGGTTTATGTTTTTCTTCAGCTCTAACTTCCATTACAGAGTAAAGTACTTGTTCAGTGTGTGACATCTGGTGTCTCGAGTGTATATCAGGCGCTAATTAAAATATGTTCTGTAGCATATAAGATTTCAGCTCCTGAAGGATAAAGGTCTAGGGCAAGGTTCTCCAAATCCAGTCCTGGAGGGCCAGGTTTCCCGGCTCACGTCCACTAAACCGTGTAATTAGCTGGTGAACTGAATAAGGTGTTTCAGCATGGAAATCTGTAAACGATGTTGCAGACTGACCCTCCAGGACCGGATCTGGGGGACCCTGGTGTCGAGGTTCTCACACTTGAGCAAGGTTTCCTCAGACCCAACCACATTCAGACGTGGGAAGAGGAATCACAGGGAATCTTGTGGATTTGTTCTGTTCCAGCTTTTTGGGGTTTTGGTATGGGCAACCCAATAAGACACCCCCATCATGTAGATGGTACCTTCCATCACATCTCGCTACTGCTCCTTCTTCTTCATTAGCACACAAAGCAGGTGCAGGGTAGGGGAATAAGACGACACCTTCCTGTCTTACATCATCCATATCCCTTCCCTAAATGTGCCGACCACCTTCAGTTGATTGTGGCTGTTGGTATGGCTCTCCACGCTTTTGCCCTGAGGACAGCCCAGCAACAACAGACCCAAATTGCAGCCCAGAGGGTTGAAACCTGTAACCACTCCCAGCTACACCATGAACTCGCCCCTCAGCCTTCGAACCCCCCCATGAGGGGTCACAACCTCGATGTTGCCTTAGAACTGCTGTCATCTATACCCGGGATAGAAATCTTTGTACAGTAATCACTGCACAAAAACCAAAATTAAGCAGCTCCCTCAAGCATATCTGCGACTTGTGATGTGCATGAGCATTACTCAGTCAGCATCTTCAAAGGTTTCAGATCTTTGACTCCATTTGTGAATCTTCTGTATGAGGCTCTGCAGCAACTTGTCTGCAAAATGTGTGCTGTTCGATGTAATCTGATAGAATGGGGGGGTGGGGGGATGCACGGGGATGTACACGTTCTCGCTTGAGGTTTGGACATTTGCACAAGGAAACCATTGGAAGTCTGACATCTCCTGGATGCTGTTTCACTGCTATGGAAACGTTGGGAGAGTCTTTCACAGCAGAAGAGGTCCAGGCTGTCACCTCATCCTGCATGCATTGTGGCAGAGAATTCATTTACCAAGATGTCAAAACAATGAAAGGCAGGGATTATTGAACCGTCTAGTGTCGTGTTCTGCTCTGGGAAATGATTTGTTTGTTTTGTTTACTGACGACATGCTAAAAATTCAGCCATGGTATAAATAATTCTGGCTGGGGAAAATACGTGGCGGTTTATACTAGAATACCATAAAGAAAACCATTTCGCATTCCGTAACACGCGGAGGAATTTATCTGTTTTTAACAACCTTTGGATGCGATTCAATCTGGCGACAAACTGCCGCTGTGCAAAAAAAGAAAAATCTAAGTGGAAAAATACCAAGGCCGTTAATCGCACATAATACAACTACTCTTATAAAACACAAGCATTTAAAAGTATTAAAATGAATTAGGAACCTTATGCAAAGCCATTAAGCAGGTTACATGCATAGTACTATTTCTAGGGATAATATGAAATAATACATTCCAGTATTTTCCTCGTTAATTTCACCTTATCGTCAGAGAAGGGGTACGACGGAAAATTACTGCGAATCGATTTTAATGGGCTACCTCAAAGCAGTAGCGGAGGAGACGGGGGTGAGCAACATGTACTAAAGGAGCTCCCAGTCCCCGGCCGGGAATTTTTACTGAATAACAGACGATTCGTAGATAAATCCGCAAAAAATTACCTAGAACCACCCCCGCCCCCCTTCCGCCTCAAAGTTTGCGGAGCCAAATTAAGGGAGCATCGTGCACTAGGCACGACGGTGAGCGGACTCCTAGATAACGGCGTTATTTTTTAACAGAAAATAAACTGATTTAACCAAAAAAGGCTTTGTAACCCCGATAACCGAGACTAGATGCCTGGGCCTATATTCGAGAAGTTTTTAATGAACTACACAGAGTATAGAGAAATAATTGATCAGTATGCCAGGAATGACTTTAATGTGAAAACTTACTTTTATTATTCAAATCAAACCAAGACTGCTTTAGAAATTATTCTTGGAGCATGTAAATGAATGGAGGAAAAAAAGGTCCAGCATTTTCAGTAACAATGGGGCTTTTTATAGAGCGCGACGC